GGGGGGTGGTGGTGGTGGGATGAATTGGGAGATTGGGATTGACATGTATACACTAATATGTATAAAATGGATAACTAATAAGAACCTGCTGTATAAAAATAAAATAAAATTCAAAAATTCCAAAAAACCCAGGTAAAGTGATATTGAGCAAACACATTTGGAAAATTGTATTTTGTTAGTATGAAGCATTAACAGTCTCCACTACTCAGTTAACAGAGTGCACACATGTTTAACCTAAGAGCAGCGTGTTTCCTACAGGTTTTTGAGTCAGAATGTCCCAATCAGCCCTGTAATATTTCTAATTCCAATTTCAGAGAACTTTGCCTGATCACTTTGCAAGTCCTTCACATTTTCGGGTTCAGTTTCAGGTATCAGTATTTTGTCTGAGAAGTTCCAAGTCCCCCTGTATCCTGCCCCCCACTTTTGTATTAAGGTTTAAATAATTCTTGCTTGTTTAGGAAGGTAAAGCTCAGCCTATATGTAAATATGAACTCTCACAACCCACGCTGTGAGGAGGCTGAGAATAGCTACTGGCGGGAGATGAAGTGTTGCTGCAGAACAGAGTCTGCAGTGCAGGCAGCATCGGGACAGAAGCCAGATGCCAGAGCACAGCTGTCCTGCTGGTCCGCTGGCTTAGGCCATTGATGGGAGGCTGCTGTGACATTCTCTCTTCCTCTGTCCTCTCCAGGAAAAGTGAAATGGAAGATATGAGTTTTCTCTCTCTCTCTAGTTTCAGATGGAAGAAATATAGCACGTGCTCTTCTAAGTTGAAAGAGAACTTAAAACATATCCGGTATTTAATACTTAAGATGTAATAGTGTTTAGGGGAACTCTGAAATCCAAGTCTGGTTCAAAAGCCCCTGCTCTTCATCATGATGCTATACTGCTATCTGACGTGCCATCTTCACTCTACCAAGCAAAGACCCATTGCTTTCATTTAATGTTATCTAGTACAAGACCAAGAAATTAAACTCACCGTATGAGAGTAGTATCTGTCATTCAATAACACAACTATTGCAAAACCACTGCATTTAACATGAGGATTACATTTTAAGCTAATAAAAAGATTTCATTCATATAAAACAAAAACCTATTGCCGACCAATAAGCATCTCAGAAAGTAAGGCCAAGTCTATTGTGTTTGTAGGCGTTTTTATTTATGTATGCACCATGAGATAATAATAATAGCTGGCATATGATGTATGACCTGTGACAAGTCATGTGCATTCTTTCAGTCTTGACGCCACTCATGAAATGAAGATACCAATCCCTACTCTGCACAATTATTAAAGAAATAAAGGAGATAGTGTGTGTGTCTGAAGCACTCATTTTAAGCTACAGGTTATACTAATAAAGGACATTATCATTAAAAAATACGTTTTCTAGGTTTGTATACTTGCTAATTCAACCAGGAGGCTGTAGAGTCAAAATGAGTATTTTATGATTCCTGTTGGCCCCTGGAATGTAGCACCATTACCCATTCACTCAGCCAAAGCTGATAGAGGTATCATGAAGATACCAAAATTTATAAGGACAGGCTCTTGTCTTTAGGGCACTTACATCATTGTGTAGCAGGGCATGATCCATTACAGTGGTTCTTATCTTTTTAAGAAAAGAGATGCTTTTAAGAATCAGGTGAAGGGTAAATCATCTCCTCAAGAAATGCACGCATGTGGAACAGAACATTACATTCACTGGCCAGGATATTTGCTGGCCTTGGGTTAGGAACCCCTGGTCTACAGCAGATGGTCCAATGCAGAAAGAAGGAGTGTTTGATGGACCCACAGTTCTGCAACATTGCCTTACTGGGGGAAAGAGATGTTAAAACCACTCATGTCTCTTCAAGCTTCTAGAGGATTCCTGGAAAGAACACCCGTATGTTTGTGAGACAGGGCTCTTCCCAGGGTAGCAAGCAGCAGGACACTGATTCATATTGGGAAACTCCTTACTAAAGATTTAAAGAACTCTGCTCTGGAAACACACATTTGATCTATGGTTAAGTGATCTTTCCTTCTTTCGAAGGCAAGATTTACCATGTGCGAGCAAAATGACCTCTGCCAGTCTGATGCAGGCTTTTTGATCCCACCTACTCCACCCCTGGCCCTGGACCCCTTCACCTCTGCCGCCCCAGACTCCTCGTTATGAGTGTTTTTTGTTTGTTTGTTTTAATATTTATTTATTTATTTAATTTTGGCTGCGTTGGGTCTTCGTTGCTGCACGCGGGCTTTCTCTAGTTGAGGTGAGCGGGGGCTACTCTTCGTTGTGGTGCACGGGCTTCTCATCGCGGTGGCTGCTTCCCTTGTTGCGGGCTTCAGTAGTTGTGGCTCGAGAGCTCTAGAGCGCAGGCTCCGTAGTTGTGGTGCACGGACTTAGCTGCTCCGCGGCATGTGGGATCTTCCCGGACCAGGGCTCGAACCCGTGTCCCCTGCACTAGCAGGCGGATTCTTAACCACTGCGCCACCAGGGAAGTCCATGAGTGTTTTTTTGTTTTGTCTTTTTCAGAGGAGAGGGGAAGATTTCCTTTTCCCCTTCTAAGCACAGGCATCCTCCACGGACCTATCCCTGGCCCTCTCCTCCGTAATGCTCTTCTTACTGATGCTCCTGTGAACTTCTCTCAAAACAAAAAGGTGCTTCAACTATTATCCCTATTCATACTATTCCCAAATAAGTAAAATTCTAGCTCCGGCTTTATTTTTATCTTCATTTCCGACGTGCACTGCAAACTGTTCTTGCCATATTTAGTCTTTTACTCTTGCCAACACTTTAAATTCAAGGTGGCTCAAATAAGAATCTTTGTCTTATCAATGACACCCACTCTTTTTTTATTTCCTTAAAACATCAAAGTCTTTGACTCTTCCCCATCTCTTTTCCCCTTATGTTCAATGAACGTCAACCCTTATTCCATACCGCATCCCTGACACTTCTCCTGGCCATCGTCCATGGCCATTGCCATGGTCATGGTGGCAGTTCTTCCTCTTAATGCATTTCCCAAGGACTCCATCAATGACTCTCAGCCGTCCTCTGAAATCCAACACTTGCGTATCCTCCAGATGAACTGTCTTGATGTGCTCTTATGGACAGATATTCTTATATTTACAAAACCTTAGGCTTGCCCTTATGCCTGGAGACTAAAGCCCCAAATGTTGAACATAACCCACTGCACTGTGTTCCAGCATTTCTTTCTACCCACTACTCTCCTTCCTGGATGCTGCAGCTCTAGCCAGAATCCCC